AGGACATTGATCATGCAATCAATATGATAAAATCATGGGTCTTAGCACTTGGCTGGCAAAAGTCGACATCACCTCAGCTTTCAAAGCTATGCCTATCCATCCAGATTCATGGCACTTATTTGGGGTATGCTGGCACAGGAAATTCTATTTTGTCATGCGCTTAACTTTCGGATGCAAAGCAGCACAAAGATTTTCTGACGTGTTATCAGAAGCAGCTTATTGAATTTGTCAAACAATTACGTAAAGTAATCCTCATAGCATCTACCCTTTTAGACAACTCAAATTGTTCTGAGCATTGAACTCCCTGTCAGATGCTGCAAGAGCACTCCCGGTGGAGCAAATATGTTTCTCTCTCGACTACAGGCGAGGCTCACCCATCTGATGCCGTGAGTATTGAACTCCCGTCGGATGTCGTGAGAGTCCTCCTTGCCAAACCGAGAGGACCCACTCGTCCGTCGTCCTGAGTCTTGATCTCCAGTCGGAGGCTTCATGGGCCCTCTCGGTCAGCCACTTGCCCTCTGCCCACTGATCAGCAGGGGCTTGTCAGCCAGTAGGGACCGTACGCGACACCGTGAGCTGTTCCAGTCGAGGCAACTCGGGCCCTCCTGGTCAGGCTTTACAATCACGCTGCTCCTCCCCATCGGCCGGTAGGGCTCACCCTTCCAATGCATAAGCCGCTCCCACCGGCGTACGTAGACTCTACCGGCATCTCAAACACCAGCCCCCGCCAGATCTCAGTGCTTATTTTTGGGGGGGGCATCCTTAGTCTGGCGGCTGTCCTTCGCTCAATTGCTTTTTGTGGGGGTACTCTGGGTTCGGGCCATTTCCGAGCTCGGAGCCCTTCCCTGGACAGCACGCCAACTACGCATTACTATACTTCAACTAATTATATGTAAGTGTGAACTCGTGAAGTTATGTTATGATATGTAATCAGAGGGTGGGGAGATGGGGGGGATTCCCCTGCTCTATATGTCTCTCTGCATCAGCTAAATTATTTTTTTATTCCCAGTGAATAGGAGTTAAAACTCCCACCCGGGTGACACTACTCCAATAACAGGCCATGCAAAATAAACAAAAATATTTAGAATATTGCAAAGTAACATTGCAACCTTGCAAACAATAATAAAATCAGAGAATGACTTTAACTGTAAGCGACACGAGCATACGCAAAACAAAGGGAACAATATGATGTTTGTTATTATTAAAATTTTATATAGCCCACGTTTTTATAGACATATATATTTTTTTAATTTACCGCTTAGGCAATAACGTTGATAATAACGTATATCTTCAACATACCTTGTCTGTGACCAAAAATGTAAGAAGATATGTTTTCAGTGGACTTTTAAAATTTGCTTTGCTTGAGAAAACAAAAATATACAGTTACAATGTTTTTTTCTTTTGATTTAGTCGAGTTGGTTTTGCATCAAACACAATGTGATTCTCGACAATCGAGAACTGACAGGATCAGCACATTTTTCCGCTTGGGCTAGCGCGTCGCTGACAGCTTACCTCGCGCATTAAATCAGCCGCAGACCAGCAAATCACTGAGAACGCACTACAATCCTGACGAGTCAGAGCAACAGAGCGGAGGCGAGAAAGCTGCGGAGAATCCGCTCGCCCGGAAGCTTCCGTCATTGACGGTGATTTAAAGAAAATGACTGCCGTTTGGCAAATAAATCATTGTACGTCCTTATTCCTAACTCTTTAAGCTTTAAGTTACATTTCAAATGACAAGGGATCAACTTATAATCATGTTTATATGAATTATCCCGTGAACTTATTCTCTCAAGAGCACTGCCACGGCCACCGGCCCGGACGACTCGTGCGGCCTCCCAGAATCCTCTTCACCATCCGGGCAGCGGGCCGACGGCCACATTCTGAAACACAGGACAAACAGAGAGAATGGACCCTTTTCACAAGACTGTGATGACGCGTTTAACGGTCATCAGCATCGTAAAACCTCAAAGATTTTTCATATTTGTGTTTTTAAAAAAATGTATGTACATTTATAGCACTATTCTTTGTATTATATCACCTTTGCATCAAATTACAAAAAAAACAGTTAACGCTAATGCGAGGGTGTTTCTAATGCAGCGTCTATGGGAGGGACGGTAAATTTTACATCGTTCTCTCCTCTGACTGCCGTTCAGTCTCTCTCAGTTTTTTCCCTTTTATTGAAAGTCATGAAGACACTATCGTGGAGTTTTTCTTTTGCTATTTGAGCAAATGGGAATGCAAAAAATATATGTGTGTTACTCTCCCATTCACTGCTCTTCAAGTTAACCCAACTATGACGACTTCCGCTGCTGAGAATCGCGCAAATGTGAAAAAGGTCCATGAAGGATGAAACAGTGTCTTATGGCCAGCAGAGGTGTGTGTGTGTGTGTGAGTGTGCCACTCATACATACTGTCTCTTGTGCACTTCAGTGAGATCTTCTTGGATGATGTGCAGCTCTGCCTGCAGACAGGAAATGATGTTGGTCAGTGTCATCTGATGGATTGAGTTTCCAAACATATTTAACATGGAGCGTGTTGCATTTTTGCTGCTGTCGTGTGTGCAGTAAAACACACACACACACACACACACACACACTCATGTATTAATGTTGAGAGGAATCAGGAGTGAGTGCAGAGGAGTTGTGAGCGCTGTGTGAACATGATCTTTCTGTAGTTCCAGACTAATGTCAACATGTATTTACTCATCTCACTCGCACAGAAACAGATTCAGTATTTCTCAAAATTAATAAAAACAGCGAAATGCAAACTCAGAATATGACACAAACCTGCAATAATTGAGTATGATAAATAACACAAATATCCTTTATGTATTTAATCCCATTTTATTAACCAATGTCTTTGCTGCTGACCTTCAATGATCCAATTTAACCATACGCTTTTATTTAACTGACAAAAGTACAAAGAAAAGATTTCCGAAGTTTTCACTGATTAACTTAAATGTATTTTGTAAATATAAACAAAATTTGATTTTGATGGCTGCAACACACTCCAAAAAAGATGGGACAGAGGCACGTTTAACACTGTGTCACATCAACTTTCCCTTTAGTTACAATGTTTAATTTTTGGGGAGTTTAGGATACTTATTGTTTAAGTTAGAACTACTTTACTTCCAAGATCGATCCTATTAGAGATAAAATTGTAACCATGCAGCTGTCAGCTACAGTATCACATCAGATAAGGGCCTTTCGCACCGCGGGAACCTTTTCATAGTACCAAAACTATCTTCCTAGAGAAAAAATGGTATCTGTGAGGATTTTCAGTCAGGATTTAGACCGTATCACAGTACTGCTAATGAGTCTCTAATGAGACTGCTCTCATTAGAGTTACAAATGACCTGCTCTTTTCATCTGAACGTGGTTGTATCTCTGTATTAGTGCTACTGGATCTTAGCTCCGCGTTCGACACTATTGACCACAACATTCTTTTGAATAGACTAGAAAACTTTGTTGGCATAAGTGGAAGTGTATTAGCATGGTTCAAATCTTACTTATCTGACCGCCATCAATTCGTAGCAGTGAATGAAGTGCAGTATGGAGTACCTCAAGGCTCAGTACTAGGGCCGTTACTTTTCACGCATCTCTGTTATGTATTCTACACCCATGGCATGCACACACATTAGGATAGGTTAGATGTCTGCCTCCGTTGCGAGTCCCTATCAAGCACTTTACCGATTCAACTACTCTCCTCTCCTCCTCCTGCCTGGCTCTTTGGCCAGCATCACTCACCGCAGAGCAATCCTGTTCTTGATAAATCTGCTGTGAAAACGTGGGAAAAGCCGACGAGGAAGAAGTTGGAGTGAAGCGATCTTTATATAGGCGGAGCAAAATACTTAATCGCTCCGTCTATAGCGCATTGTGATTGGATGGTTTACGCTGTCTCTACAGGAGACAATCCAATGGGCCACTGGCTGCTCGCTGTCCCTGCGTGATGGTCCTTGGCAAAAAAAACAAAACATTTTGTCGGCCCCTTAAGTGCGTCGGCCCACCGGGAAAATGCCCGGTATGCCCGATTACCAATCCAGCCCTGCTTGACTTGCTCAGATGAGTCCACAATGGACGTCGAGTTCTCAGAGCCAAAGATCAAAGGGAGCATCCAGACTTTCACCACCGACAGATGCAGAAGCAAACATCTGTCATGGCATACGGGTTTATCAGAGCAAACGGCATGAGTGACTGGCATATGTGTGAAGGTACCATTGACATGGAGGCATATACTGAAATTGTCCAGAGACATATACTGCCATCAAGATGACGTCTTTCATGGGAAGTCCATGGTTATTAGATCAAGACAATGCCAGGTCTTGTTCTGCATGTGCTACAACAGCGTGGTTTCGTAGACTGTGAATGTGCTAGATCAGTCCAGATCTGTCTCTTATTGAACATGTGTCAGTCATGAAAAGGAGAATCAGACAACAACGATCACAAACTGCTGAGCAGCTGAAGTCTTCTATCAAGTGAGATTGGACAAAAATTTTGCTTGCAAAACTTTAACAATTACTATCCTCAATTCCCAAACAATTAAACATTGTAATTAAAAGGAAAGTTGATGTGACAGTGTTAAACACGCCTCTGTCCCAACTGCTTTGGAGTGTGTTGCAGCCATCAAAATAAAAAAAATGGTATATTTACAAAATAAAATTAAGTTGGCCAGTGAAAACAATGGAAATTTTCTCTTTGTACTTTAGTCAATTATATAAAGGTTAAAGAGAATGAACAAATCACAGGTTCTTGATTTTATAGCATTTCACAAAACGTTGGGGTTGTACAACCCTCAGATGTAGCTAATGGGATGTGAACATTTGATTTAGTCATATTGTTTCCAAATGCACAGCTAGGTCACACACACACTCACACTCACACTCAGACACACACACACTCACACACTCACGTTTGTACAGGAGAGACTGGCAGGCATAATTTCCCTCATAACTCACCGCAAATCACAGCATCATTAATACATTTAGACGGAGAAAGATCTTTAAGACTTGTAATATATTAGATCAGGGTTCTGCTGTGTTTTTCTGGAGATTGCGAAAAACTCATGAAAACTAAAGTAACAGAAAGCCACTTACTGATGCACTGCATGTTAAGAATACAGTGCAAATGTGGCACATGTGAGCAGTGCTTTAGCATCTGATCTCCGGCATTGAGTGTTTTTGGTGTGTGTGTGTGTGTGTGTGTGTGTGTGAGTGTGAGTTTGAGTGTGTGTGTGTGTGTGTGTACTGACCTTACCCTAAACCCATCTGTGTGCACGCAACGCTGCTGAGGTTTGAGCTCCATCCATCCACACAAACCCGATACTCCATCCCAGCCTTATGCACCATCACAAAACCATCATCAGACAGAGACACTGGACACACACACACAAACACACACACACACTGTGAGCCGGCCATCACTTACTAATCGGTCACCATCTTAACATCGTTGTTTTTACAACAATACACTTCAGTCTGTCTGCAGTTGCTGTATGATCACAGATGACATTAACATGATTTAAAATGTAAAGATCAGCAGGCAGAAGTTGAGTTGATGGAACTCTTACCACAGTTCCACTCGTCTGAGCTGTCAGAGCAGTGTCTCCTGCCGTCACACCACAGCGATCGGTGAACACACTGATGATTATTACACTCCATCTCGTGACTGCTACATGCAGCTGAAAACAAACACACGAGAGTGTGCAGTGTGCAGTGTGTGTGTGTGTGTGTGTCTGTGTGTGTGTGTGTGATTAAAATAAACCTACCATAAAAATTACAGACCCTTCGTTTCTTTCTAAGTGGGCAAACTTACAAAATCAGCAGAGGATCAAATAAATATTTTCCCCACTGTATATAAAATTATAAAGGTGCATATACACACACAGACACAGACTGACCTGCAGGGCGGCACTCTCTGCTGCGTTACAGGGTCACACATGGGCACAAGCACCGTACACGCAAAGAACATGAGATATTTGTAGCAGTTTGTCTGAACGAGTGCAGGAAAGAGCGAGGACTCCCAGCTCACAGACGTCTCCTTCTGAGAGTGATGACCCAGATAGTTGGGGAAGCGGGTGGAGTTATAGGGCAGATTCATGCAGATCTCCAGAGAGATGGGCTCACAGCCACCTGACACACACACACACACACACATCTGTGTCAAATATTAACGTGTCTTTGATGTCTAAGCCGTCACAGATCATGTTGTGATGGATGCAGGTTTTGTCTCCGGGACATTCCCACAAGCCCCGCTCCACACACCCTAGTGACAGACACACACAGGAAACACTGTGTATATTTGTGAGCGGGATAATAATGCTGTCTATCATGTCATGTGAGTGTGTATTTTTACTCACCGCATGTTTCCTCGTCACTGTCGTCGTCACAGTCTGTATGTCCATCACAGCGTTTGGATGAGAGAACACATCTTCCCGAGCGGCACTTAAAGTGACTGGGTGAGCACTCTGAAACACACACACACGATCATCTAACCCTCATAGGAAACTGTACAGGTTACCGAATTATCTTAAATTCATTGATCTGAATTGATCTGAATAATGACTCTATTGTCTTCTGTAGAGCTGCTTTACAGCATGGTGTCAAAGTACCATTGTGACACACAAACATTAACACTAAATCTAAAGCAATCATGGGAAACTCTGCAGCGCTCTGTGTTTAGCTAGAGGTCAGAGGTCAGTCGTTTCACTCACTGCAGTTGTTGCCAGTGTTGCGCAGGTCACATGACGTGTTTCCATGACAGCCAGAGGAGCAGGAGGTTGAAGTACAACTGGACTGACCAGGAGGACACAAACCCTGAGCTGAGAGACAGAAAGAAAGTCGTGAACAATAACTTGGAAGTTTTTAGAATTGTGGAAAAACAGTATGTCCAGCTATAGACAGGCTCTAAAAGCTGCCAGGGCCGAGCATATCCACAAACTTTGTAAGCTAGTTTGTCATTGTATCTTACTGATTTATTGTTGTTGTGCTTTTTAATTAAGAATAACAATGAATCCATTTTTTGTTTTAGTATTAAAACAATGAAAGGTGTGTAGATGTATTTAAGCAATACAGTGACAACAAGATTTCGAAATTCGAAAGTGAAAGCATCCAAAGCCCGCGGCTTAACACAGCAAAAGAGAAACTCCCATTCACATAATTCAAATCACAAATAATACTACTGATGATAAAGAACGGGTTAAATGTTAACCACTTTCGTTTCCATATAACTATAAACTATAATAAAAGTTAATCAGCATGCATTGAATAATCCCATGTTGTAGCGCAAAAAAAATTAAGTTAATAATTATTATTATTAAAAAAAATAATAATAATATTGCGACCAAATCATGTGCTCGTGCGACCAGCTGAGAAAGTTAGTTGCAAAAGAGCGACCAGTGTGTGAGTGTGATGTGCAGCGGCTCACAGCAGTTCAGCTCGTCACTTTTGTCCAGGCAGTCGTGATCTCCGTCACAGAGCCAGTCTCGAGGAATACAGCGTCCTTCTCCACAGCGATGCTCTTTAGTCGGGTCACACACTACAGCACAGCACAGCACAGAGGGCACATTATTTCTGAATTATGTCTCAAATTAAATGAAACACAAGCAGAAAGTCTTTATAGGTAAGCCGCAACTTTAGAGTTCAGAGTCAAATCTTCATCAGACCCAGTTGATCAGAGCAGCACAAAGTCCTCTTTACACACTCCAACAAGCCAACACGTGTGTTAACATGTTAACTCTGACAGCTCTAGAACTCACCACAGTTTTGCTCATCGCTCAGATCACCACAGTCATCGTAGCCGTCACACAGAAGATCAGAACTGATACAGCGACCGGTGGTACACAAATACTGACCATCCGCACAAGCTGGACAAACGACAGAGCGAGAGGATCACAGTGAATGAAAGAGAACGTGTGATTCTGTGAATGCAAATCACATACTGCACTCCCAGGAATCAGCTACTGCTTTGTGTGTGAGCACAGGTGCTTCTCAATACTCAAGCTTATGCGCCCTCATTTCCTCGCTCCTCGTCCTCCAGTCGTGACCCGGATATCGATCAAACTCAGCCATCATGAAGGACGTCTTGATTCTCTAATTGCATCGTGAGGAGGCGAGGAACGAGGAAGCTTTCAGAGGAGCTATGAGCGAGGAGGCAGTTTTTCTTGTCGAAAAACTGATAATGTACAAATTCTTCTCCTTCATCTGTCACAGTCATTTTAATTTGTGATTGCAGTTTAAATAAATCATATTTTGAACAGGGCATCTTGTTTTATTAATATTTATTATGAATAACCAATCCTCAGCAGCATAAGGGCAGATCCCTTGAGCGCAGCTGATGACGCTCTGAAGTGTCAAGAAATGTATTAAACAGAGAGCAACAGTCAGGTTCCGGAAGTAAAAATGCCATTCATTTTTTCCCATAGGGAAAATGATTTTTAACAACTTACAAACCTTTAAAGACACACCTGCTGGCATTGGCTTCTGTTAAAGGCATCTGTTCACATTATCTCAATATATGTTTTAAATAATCACTTTTAACAGCAGAATCCCTGGAGAAAAACTACCTTACCCATGATGCGCTAAAGAAAATTCCACCAATCAGGGAGTTGCAGTGAGCAAATCCTGCCAAAAAGCACTCTTTAGCTCCCACACTCTCATGAAGCACCGCTAATGACATAATCAAGTCAGTCTCCCCATGCTCTCAAAATACTATGCATATTTTGCAATAAATGTGGCACTTTTTTGCTTCAAATCAAAGTTTGTAATGTTGTGATTCTCTTCATAGCTGGCTGATTTGGTCCATGGATTATAATACTTAAATGAAGACTTTTAAAATCCCTATGGGAAAAAATGAATGGAAAAATACTTCTGGAACCAGCGGCACTGAAAAAGTGGGCAGCACTGATGCACTCTACAGGTTTTCCATCAATTTCTCCATCCTCGTTTTCTTTCCTTGCTTCCTTATCTCATATTTTATGGGGCTGGATCTGATGCACAACTAAGAAAATGAGAAGCACACACTTACTGCAGTCGGCCTCGTCGCTCCAGTCGTTGCAGTCGTTGTATCCATTGCACACTAGTTTCAGGGGGATGCATATTCCGCTCGCACACAGGAAGTGATCGCTTCTTCCACACGCAGCTTAAGACAAAATCACAAAAAGACAAGCGATCAGAGCGTCACCATTCCAGACGTGATTCCAGTACTGGACGAGCACTCACAGAGCTTTCCTCTGGCGTGTCGCGGCGTGTAGCAGAGCGGCATGTTTTCAGCGTTCGTTCCCGTGTTGTTGGTGAACTGAGAGCAGCGCAGGAACTCCGGCCAGGACGCGTTAAACATCTGCAGCACAGGCTCACAGCCCTCACGAGCCGCTTCACAGAACGACTGACAGGGCAGAACCAGAGTCCTGCGGCAGAACAAGACAGAACAAACTATAGAAACACTCCAACACTGCAAGTAGTTAATGTTAACCCTCATGTTGTTCGGGTCATTTTGACCTGGAGAGGATTTTCTTTTTCTTATAAAATGCTAGTTAATATTATCACATTGGAATAAAACTTACTGACAGGGTATAACAACTTCCCCCAAAAAGTGGATAATTTTTGCACTTTTTTTTAAGGATTTTTACCATTAAAAAATGAGCAGCCCTTTAAAAAAGTGCTTGCAGATCTCTCATTATGCTATATTATTACAAAGTATTGCATTCAGTCTTTTCATTAACTTGTGTTCTTTCAATCAGCACAGGTTTTGTTTTTCTATTTGGGACTGATTGATTGTCGGCTTCGTTGATCTGAGGGCATGAATGATGAAGCATTGTTTAATGTGATAATATGTGTAATCCAACAGATTATATTACTAACTACAATTTCCATTATGTAATTTGTGATCACTAATGGACTACAATGTGTAAGTAATCTACCCGGCACTGACTGCTGCTCACTTTCATCATCTGTATTACTGCTCATTTATGCCAAAGCATCTGCTAAATGAGTGTGTATGTGAAGGGACAGCAAGGTCGAGAAGTGTCTACATTGAAAACCTGGGATTTCTGTCTTTTAAACCTGTAAATAACATTTTTAAATTCAACTTCCATCAGTTTCAGGCTGAATCTTGATGCTATAAATACAGTGAGATTCTAGAGGATTCTGTGCTTCTGACTTTCATGACAATGAGCATGTTTACATGCACATCAGTACGCTGATAACTAACAAAAATCAGTTGACTGAAATAACCCGATTTCACAAATTATGTGTTCTCATCCTTTGACAAAGGCCAAGCCACAGGTGCCATTTTCATCGATCTTTCAAAGGCCTTTGATATGGTCAATCATTACCTTCTTCTTGATAAATGGTCTTATATTGGTTTAACTAGAAATGCTCTTCTTTGGTTTAATGCTTATCTGCATAACAGGCGTCAGTATGTTGTATTCCAAGGTTTTCAGTCTGATTATTCGATTGTTGAAAAGAGTTCCTCAAGGTTCCACTCTGGGTCCACTACTTTTTTCTATTTTTATTAATTATTTATCTCAAATATGCCTTAATTGTTCAGTACATCTTTATGCTGATGACACTGTTATTTATACCAGTGATTCTGATTTTCCAGAATTCTTTACAATACAAACTGATTTTAACTTGGTTCAAAAATGGTTTCATAACAATATGCTTACACTGAATAAGAAGAAGTCTTGTTGTACGTTGTTTGGCATGCGACGGTGTCGTTCTTTTCCTTTTGATTTGAATATTACTTTTGATGATGGTTTACTTCTTGAGTCTGTTGATTCATTTAAATATCTTGGTCTTTGGATTGACCCTGAACTCTCTTTTAAGCCCCATATTGATTATATTAATAGAATATATGGTTGCTTGCGTTTACTTTACCGTTCAATTAATTGTTTTACATGTCATGTTAGGAAAAGTATTGTTTCTCAGCTAATATTACCTCTTATTAATTATGCTGATATTGTATATCAAAATACCTTTGATACTTATCTGAAGCCTCTTAATGTGGTTTATAATTCTTTGTGTAGATTTGTGTGAAGGTGTCCATATCGTACTCATCACTGCCATATGTACGAAATGCTTAATTGGTTACATTCTAAATCTAGAAGACAATTTCATTGGCTCTGTTTATTTTTAAACGTGTTTATTTTGATTGTCCTTGGTATTTGAAACAGTATTTGGTTTCATACAGATATTCTTATTCACTTAGACATGTGCAATTTCCTTTCTTTTTGTTCCCAGAATTTCTAGTGAAGCCGGGCGTAGGTCTTTTCAATATAAAGCTCCTTCTGATTGGAATAATCTTCCTCAGTCTTTGAGATCTGTTACTTCCTTTCATTGTTTTAGGCTATCTCTATTTTCTTATCTAAAAATAGTTTGTGTATGTTTCTAAGTTTTCTTATGTTGATTCTGCTTATGTATGACGTTGATTGTTTTGTAATCATGCTGTGGGAGTGGGGGACTGGTTTACTGTATGTCTTTTGTTTTTGTATATTTGTGTGTGCGCATGTTTTGTTTATGTTGTAATATTTTGTTTTTGTGTTTATAGGACCCCCTTGAAAGTGAGATGTTACATCTCAAGGGGCTATCCTTTCAATAAATTCAGATATTGATTATCTGGTTTACATGCAAATCAACAACCTGGCAATGAAGCACACTGAAGCTGAATACGAGACAGAGTGTGATGGGTGTCACAGACCTGCGGTCTCTGTGGCTGATGCATTGTGGGAGTGCGATGGAGCATCCGAACAGCATGATGTGTCTGTAGCAGGACAGTTGACTCAGGTAGCTGAAGAACTTGAGGAACATCTGCAGCTCGCTGCTCTTGACGACCGTCGTCCCCGGCAACACGCCGCTCTGGTTGTACGGCAGCATGCTACACTGAATCTCTGTGATGTCAGAGCAGAAACCTGTAAACAAACACAAGAGAAATCTGATTGGCTGATGCGTTGAGCAAGAAGTGATTTCACTGGTCAGTTTAGAGGAGATGTGTTTTGAGCGATTTCACAATTCTTAATAAAATCCATGAGATTAAGATTCATGTTCACCGCAAATGACATTCATGTAAAACAGTGAAACTGCTGATTTTCTCAGTGTTACACTCTCTCTCTCTCTGTTTGTGTGTGTGTGTGTGTGTGTGTGTGTG